GAGTTATTTTCATTGACCTAAAAAAGGCCTTGATACTATTGATCACGAAATTCTCATAAATAAACTTGAATGCTATGGAGTTGATTGCAGTGCTCTAGGCTGGTTTAAATCTTATCTGTCTGATCGTAAGCAAAGGTGCTTCGTGAATGATACACTATCCAGTAGCCGTTCTTATACTTATGGTGTTCCGCAAGGGTCAATAATTGGACCTCTTTTGTTTTTGGTCTATATTAATGATTTGCCAAATTGTATGAATGACGGTTTAGCAAGAATGTATGCCGATGATACTAACATAACTTTTCATAGCCATGATCTTTCTGAGTTGGAAGACGCAATGAATGCGGAATTGATCAATCTAAATACCTGGCTACAATCCAATAAATTAAGTCTTAATATTGCAAAAACCGAACTTATGGTCATTGGCTCCCGTCAGAGACTTGCAACCTTCAGTGAAACCAACGATTTAAATGTCTTTGTAGACAACAAAAAGATCAAAAAAGTTCAATCTACAAAGTCGTTATGTCTAACAATCGACGAGCACTTAACTTGGAAAAACCATAACAATAATATTCCCAAAAAAATTTCGTCCGGTATTAGTGCTCTTAAGCGCGTAAGACCTTTCATCAATAGAGAAACGGCTGTGAAGGCATACAGGGGCCTGGTCGAGCCCTATTTTACTTATTGCTCTCCAGTGTGGGATGGTATTGGTTTAAAACTGGGTGAGAAACTACAAAAGCTGCAAAATCGTGCGGCTAGGGTAATGACCAGGTCCTCGTATGAGGTTTCGTCAGCATCCCTACTTTCTGAGTTGGGATGGAGTGTTTTGGCAAAAAATCGCATGAAGCAAAAAGCTATCCTAATGTACAAAGTTAATAATAATTGTGCTCCTCAATACTTGCAGCAGTTATTTACACCCAAAGTGAGCAATCATGATCTGAGAAATTCTCTAAATAACTTGTCTGTTCCAAAACCCCGAACAGACTATTTAAAACGTTCTTTCAGCTACAGTGGTGCTTCCCTGTGGAACAGCTTGTCAGAACAGCTCAGATCAGCCCCTTCTCTCAATTCATTCAAAGTCGAATTGACTAACTTCCTATAGTATACTGAGTATATGGACTCTTGCACGGCAATCATGTAAAACAGTAATTATTATTTTTATCTTTTGACTAACATTGTACATATTTAAATTTGTGTATTTTATTCTTGTACTGATGATTCTTCCGTGTTGAAATAAAGTGTATGTATGTATGTATGTATGTAATCAATCGATACAGTGGCGAGGCAATGTTGGCAAAATTCGTTATAAAGCGCCGATAATAAGATGCCAGACCAAGAAAGCTGCGCAGTTCTCGAACATTGGTTGGGACCGGCCAATTCACAATCCGTTCGACTTTTGCAGAATCAGTAGACACACCGTTCTCCGATATAATGTGCCTAGGTACTCCACTTCTCTCCGCAAATAACTTACATTTCTTCGGTTTCAGCTTCAGTCCGGCGTTTTGTAACCGTAAGAACACTAATACTTCTCGCAGTCTTGCTGTATGTTCTCCAAAATCTCTACCGTAAATAATGATATCATCAATGTATATAAGACAAGTTGACCACTGCAATCCCGCTAAAACTTACTCCATGAGGCGCTGTAAGGTGCTGGGTGCGTTGCGAAGACCGAATGGCATAACGTTGAACTCGTATAGTCCTTGGTGCATAGTGAAAGCTGACTTCTCACGATCATTTGAATCTAGTTCCACTTGCCAATAACCACTCGCCAAGTCTAACGTACTGAAGAATGTCGCGCCGGAAAGGGCATCCAATGTATCATCTATACGCGGTAGTGGACACGCGTCTTTCTTTGTGACATCGTTTAGCTTCCTGTAATCCACACAGAACATTGTGCTGCCATCTTTCTTCCCAACCAGAACAATCGTAGCAGCCCACGGACTAGACGACTTTCGAATCACTCCTTTATCCGACATGGTCTCCAGCATAGCGTCCACTTCTTCCCTTCGATGACCAGGAATACGGCGTGCATGTTGGCGAAGTGGTGAATGGTCGCCAGTGTTGATCTTGTGAAAGATTTTATCTGTTGGTCCAATATACTTACTTGAAAACTTTAAAGTTTATTTAACCACGTTGGCCATGCACCACATATTTGTAAAGTACAATGAGTTGATTTTCAGATGGGGCGTGTTTTACTTACATATTATCTTAACTCACATCCTAGTCGCTGGGTCTCTGGTATAGTGGACATACTGCGTTTAAATCGATAAGGCGAGGATGCCTTTTCGCCTCAGAAGGAAAACTATTCCACAGCATTGCACCACTATACTTAAAACTTCGTTTAAGATAATTTGTTTTAGGTTTTGTAAGTGCTAGATCAGTATCACTACTTCGAATATTATATTCTCCATTAATTTCTTTAATTTTTATAAATTTTTCTCTAAGACTTGTGGCAGACTGCTCCTTAAGAATTTTGTACATCAAAACTCTCTTCATGCAGCCTATGACGTCTTACATCGATCGTGGACCATTGCAGATCCTCCAGTACATTTGCCAGATCCACCAGTACATTTGCTGAGAAATGTCATATCACTCGGACCAGTTGAAAATATATCCTGAAACTCGGTTAGTAAGTGTTTGACCCCTTCTTGGGCTGGTTCGGATAAATGGGGCAAATCTATCTCATCAAAAGGTTTAGCAAGCGTTATTGTTTTACTCATATCTTCATTACCCTGTCACGCATTACTAACTTCATTTACGATAACGGTTTCAATCATTTCAAATATCTCGCCATTTTCACCATTCTCTCTTAAGTGATACATCGTAGCTACTTTAGAGTGTTTGTACAATGTTATTGGTGTTGGAGACGTGTTCACAACCCTCACAAGTATACGATTAACTTGTGGTTGTACTACTGACCGTTCTAATGCTAGATCTGGTGGCCTTTGAAATTTCAAATTTGGTTCAACGATCCCAGAAAAATTTACTCGCGCTTTCTTATCCGACGCAGACACTTTTGCTGGTATGACCATCCCGGGTCTAGCACTATCACCGTCTCTGCTAAAGACAAACGACACCCTACGTTTTGAGTTGAACACGACTTTACAAACACTGGTGCCGAAACATGATTTGCTCGCGATGAAAGACAACCGTTTCCAAGCTCTATAGTAAAATTGTTAGCGCCGAGAAAGTCTACTCCCAATAAGCAATCGTGAGAAATGTCATCGGCAACCAGGACAAGAGGAGAGGCGTAGATACCCGCTACTCTCATTTCTACAACACATTGTCCCAAAATGCTTAAAGGTTGACTGTTCGCGGCAATAACGAGGGGACCAGGGCCAAGAGGTCCATAACATGCTTTAATCTTATCTCATGTACGTATATGGATTAACGTATCTGCTGATCCCGTATCGACTAACATGCTTACTTCTTCTCCGCCAATCTCACCCATCGTGAAAATTGCTGACTCAGCGCTAACACTTTCGATACGTTTAAACTGATTAAATACACTGACCTTCTGGCTCTTCTCTTCATTCGCTGACGTGTGACCCCTCGCCTCAGCCGCTGCTCATTTACCTGCATAATGACCCACCTGCCCGCAGTTGTAGCATTCATTTCCGAACCTTGGTTTCCGGTATTGCATTTGTTTTCGATAACTCGAACTTGAAGTGTCATTTCCGTTCACCTTCATTCCAGAAATCAACTCCTGCATTACTTCCGTGTTTTGCTCGACGATGTGGAGGCTTCGTTCAAGGATTCTGTCTGTTTCATCACTGTTCACTGCCAGGACTTCTGCTGGATTACTGACATAAACAGCTTTCGTTTGCTTATGGTGTTCAACTTGCTCTATGACTTCCACTACGCTGATGGCGAGAGTGACCGCTTCGTCCATATGGCTATTGTGTTTAATTCGAGACCTTTCCTTTTTAATTAAAGACCTTTCCTAATTAACGTGCTCGTGTTTTCTCGATGAGTGATTGTATTTGGTCGTGATTTTAATGCGTAACATTGCAATAGGCTGAAGATGACTCTAGACAGATTGCGTCTACATAATCTTCGCGGCTGTTCGCGCAAAACGTGAGAAATATGTACCATATTGACGCACGACAAGTTGCATTCCTATGACATATTGTTCTGAACCTGGTATCATACCATACCCGTCGAAAATAGAAGCTGTCAACATCACTAGCCCTAGCAATATCTATTTATCTATTTATCAATTTATTTATTTATTGAAAATCAACGCTCTGCCTGGTGAAAGTCAACGTTCTGCCGAAAGTCGTTGGTTAACCCCGGGCACGTGGGCAGGTAAAAGGGCCCACAATAATTGGCAAATGCTGTTGTGGTGACCCTATCCTAGTTGCAAAGCTAAATAAATAAATAAATAAATAGCGAGGTCCCGCAATATATTTCCAGTCAACAACTAAGCGTTTGTCTGTCTAACAACAGAAATGGATTAAGGTATGTTAGATTATTCTTAGTGCAAAATAGTTGGTATATACAAAATTAAGTACATTGACTCGCTCTCTGACGTATATTAAATGCGTGAAAATCGTCGCATATAATTCTTAATCGCATTGTGTACAAGCTATCGAAGCATAGCGTTGCGCGAGGGTGTCCTATTACCTTGTCGACCATGTGGTATTTGCCTGAAGCCTCACTCAATTTTTAATACGCAATGGCTTGGTCATTGAATTTGATACATAACGACGTACAGTTTGAAATGAATCAACTAAGAGCAACGAAATATTGCGAAAGCATCGTTTTTTGGTGTGGTCATGCAGTTACGTTTCGCCGGAACTGATGCTTGGCATATAATAAATAGAGAATAATACATGGGTGCGCGGAAATACCAAATTTATTTCGAGTGTTAAACATGATATCTCACGAGTGAGCGCATGCAGCGAACGAGTGAAATATCATGTTCAACAAGAGAAATAAATCTGGTATTTCCAAGCACCCATGTATTTTTCTCAGTTTATTATATAAAGGACAGTGTTTGTAAAGCGATAATTCTTACAGAAAAGCGATAATTTTCACATGTGAGATTATCATGATTAATCTCACATGTGAGATAATCACTTTTATCAGTGTTCGAAATCTCTATATAAAGCAATATACTTTATATAATAATAGAATACAATCTTTAGTATGTTCTGAAGCTCTTGCAAAACTATATTGATTTGCTTAAATTTGCGTGGTGTCCTAATTGTATTGTATTTTGCATTCATTTCCCTGGAGATGTTAGTAAAATATCGATACAGGGCGTCAGTGTTGAGTTATCTTACAAACTAGTTTCGTAATTGCTTGAAATATACATTTCTTCATTATTGGTGTGTCCATGCTCAGCATGTGGTGGAGTAAGCAGATTTTTTTGGGTCTCTAAGTGTTTTTTCCCCAAGTGTGCAGAATGCAGTTTACGTCGCTCTTGTGGAAACAACTGCGTTGATAAAGCTCTGCTCATGGACGGACTGTTATTAAGATTTGACAGAGCAGTCGAACTCTCCTTTCTTCGAATGGATTCCATTTTGTGGCGAGTTCCTTTTTTCTTGCTGCAAAATTTAATCATTCCTCTTCTGAACGATGGATTGAAAAGAGCGTATAAAAATGGATTGATTACCGCATTAATGTTCGGCAACGTGTTTGCCGCCACATTGAAAAAAAGAGGCGGACCGTTTTGTGAAAACAGACGCCCCCATATTTTCACAAAAACTGGAGTCCAACATATTATGAACACGATAATAAAAACACTGAGACGCCAGGCAGTTCTTGCCTCTGTCATTCTCGTACTTGTCATACCGCCGTCAATTCGGCACTCTTGCTTGCGGATACTCTTTGCATGCCTGTGTGCTACGACGAATATACTTATATAAGAAATAAGGATGGCTAAGACAGGCAGAATATAAATGAAAATGGATATAAAGATAATGTAAGGAAGATTGTTTGGATTTGTTCCTCGTAATAAAGACATACTTCCAATTAAGACAGCTGCGATCCACCCGAGTAGGATGATGATTTTCAACCTGAAGGCAGTTACGTTATTTGTATACCAATAAGGGAAACCGATTTTCAATGATCTTTCTATACTCAGAAGGGTACAGTTAAATATTGATACGGAACAGCAAACGATGTCGATACTATAGTGATAATAATGTAACTCCAGGCTATGACTTGAGTTTGCTATCCATAAAGGCATTGATATCATTTCAACCACAAGATCTGCACATGCAAGACTTACGACGAACATGTTCGCGTGGTTTCGTATTGACTTCTCGACAATAAAAACGGCTACAATAAAACTGTTGCAAACTATACATGCAATTACTAAGATTACAATGAAACCAAGAAAATGCCATTGCTCGGAAGGTTTACTTGGGTATGTAGTATTGTTGTCCATTGTAATAACTTTTCCTTGTGAGCTTCATGACTGTTCATATGTTTTGAACGTGACTCTTCATGTGTTTAAATACGTCTGATAAGGCCTGCTTCGTTTAATTTCTTATCCCTGACTCAGACCTAAAATTTAAAAAAAATTGCACATGTAGCTTGAAATTTAATTCAACAATTTTTCTGGGTTTTTTTGAGTTTGTATCAGCAAAATGATAAATTGAATAGGCTGCATGGCAGAACCGTTTTGAAATTGAAGAGATATAAGAATTCTGTTAACGTTATACATAATTTTAAACTTAATTTAAAAGAAAATTTAATATGAATAATGTTGCGGAAAGGGAACTCGCCACAAATTGGAGAAGAGTCTGCCTCAAGGCCCTTGAAATTGTATGGCAGCCAGGGTAATTTTTGATCACGGTCTCCGCATGCAGTCAGCGGCCTGGAATTGCGACTGACTGAATTTAAAGTTGATTGCCACACTATTTTTATACGCTAATGTTTTCAATGTATTGGACATTTGGAGAAAGTGTGACTGTAAATTTTTTCATCGTTAACATGGAAACATTAATCGAGATGTTATAGAGCTGTTGAAGGCTTGTCCACACAATCATTTAAATTAAAGAGCATTTCGTTGTCCGCTTGATCCATGGAAAAGCATGCATTGTCGGCATTTGCTACATACAGATAACAATTAAGGAGGCTCCCTACAGTTTCCAAAATATGTGTCAGTGTTTCAAACTAAAAGCAATTTAAATTCATTGTTTCTTCTTATACGAAAGGGTAATTTTAACCGACAATCGCCACTCTTAATTCACGATACCTTGAAAATATGACGTCACCATTTATAAGCCCTATATCAACAACAAGAAGTCGTCTTAGCGGACAAAAAACCACGTTGACCTATACCTTTTTTATTGCAGAAATACATTATTGTGAAGTTTTAAATCTTTTTGAAAGTTATTTGAAAATCGCCAGTGCAGTTTACGAGAAACCGAATTTCAGCCGTTAAGATTGCATTTTAGCTTTTGGAAATGTAGGGTAGCGATTGTGTGTTAAAATAACTTTTTTATATAAGAAGAAACAAAGGCCTATGCAAACAATTACTTTTTTTAGATTCAAATAGCTTTCAGTTTAATATATATATATATATAATTTTAAAAAGGTACTGCTATTCGCCCATGCCATTGTCACAGGACTTTCGCCCCTCCCCCCATAGGAGATATGTTCCCCCTCTCAAAAGGAGGGCGAAATTCCTAGGGAGATCATCGAATATTCTAGGAATGTCTCCCCTTTTAGGATATTCGCCCCCCCCCCCTATATGCGACGTGGTTTATTCAAATAATTTCGTGATACTTCCATCTTTTTAGCGCCTTATACACGTTTGGGAATTTAACTCTGCAAAACTAAAGCTTTTTTGTCTTTCTTGAAACGTATTATTGGAGTATTGGCAAGCCATACCACTCAGAGATTTACAAACTAACATTGAAACTGTAAAAAACAGTTTCATGTATACGCGCATTCACTAATGAGTAATGACAACTTATTACCAATACATTTTTGATAATTAACGACAAAATGCTTGTGTAGCCTTAATTTTTTTTTAGGGGGGGGAGAAAATAATTAGGGGGGGGAGCATTTGCCACTCCCCCCTTCTTGACTCCTTCACTGGATAGAGTGCTCAATGGATAACCAGAGCATAATAGAAAGACACAAAAACTTAGCAAGCTTTCCTTGGCATATCCGTGTGCTTGGCAATAAGTATTTTATTTGAAGGCTAGCGTGAAGAAACACTTATGCATTCGCCAGCTTTTCTTATCTTTACTGTAACTCATATTTTAATTTGTTTTACAAATTCGATTCGACTATAATATCGTAATTATACGAATATAATTCTATGGATTACATTGGTATTATATATATTTAAAACGAATTAATGGTATAATACTAGCTTTTAACGTGTTATATGTCAGATAATTTATTAATATTCAATCTTGCATTTTCCTCATTGTACCCATAAACAGTCGCTGCAAAATTGCCTTTCGAATGCTTCATTCACGTTGTTTATGTTTTTTCGATCAACACATGGAAGCACGCATATCATCTTCCCCCGATGAAAACCCGAGCAGTTTTCGCGCATGCTTAGACAATAATTGCGCCGCTTACCTAATAATAATTTTTAGCCGGGACTTCACTGTGGCGCCGTCGTCAAAGAAAGTGTTTTTCACTTCTGAGATCGTGGGGTTGGAATCTCGCTACAGACTCATATGTACATGAGTCTGTCAACGCTCTGCCGAAAATCGGTGCTCCGATTTACTCCCACAGGGCAAGTTGGTACGGTGGGTTAGGATAAACATAGTTAGCAAACTAATATCACAATTATTGTTACAAAAAATAGTTTAGGTTAGTTTACAATGTAAGCTATCGTATGTAAGCGTAATAATTGATGTAATCGGTCAATAAAAAGCCCCATATGTGCATTGAGCAAAATAAATAGTGCATGTAGGCCTAATATAATAATTCCAAGTTCTGAAAGGAACACATTCATTAAATTAAATAAAATTGGACAATCCGTATAACATGATCACTTTAACCTGTCCACATTGTTATTATTATGCTGAAATGAAATACAAATAACGTACGTTTTCTAATAAATAGATTTTAGTTTATATATACAATTGGTTGTTTTACCTTTTATTCTTTGTTCAATATATGTTGTTAATCTTTTCTTTTCCTGGCGACTTTAATTAACCTAATAACTCCCATATTCTGCTCGAAATTTTGACTTTCCGTTTCAACATCCAAGTTTCAACTGTTGTTCTCGAACAGCATGCACCTGTCATTATTTTTCCTACAAGTCAATATAATTAAGCCGTCTGACGTATATGAATTGTTCCAATATTGCGTTGCCAATCAGATCTCATGTACGTCAACTTGTTACTAAACTACTGAACTGTTCAATTTTACTCTAAAATATTACGTAGTTAATTTTTGATAATTTCGAACGTAGATTTCAGACATGAAATGAACGTGAATGATTTATTCGTTAACAGTGCTGAATCGGAAAACTTCTAACTTTCATACCTGCGTAAGTTGGGTTTTTTTTAGATCAGGAACTGTGCAAGCTCAAACAATATAAAGTCGCCGTGTAAAATTCAGTTAATCTTCACGACAAACCCACTTAGCATGGTCCTGTCATATAAGTGTGCGTTTGCTATAAAGAGTACAGTATTTTGACAGGTATTTCCAACACATTTGCTTCATGCACGGGATATAAACTCAATGCAGCAGGCTAAAAATAGTTGAGAACAATAAGCGGGGTGAAGAGTTATGGAATATGTAAACAAAGTAGTCAGAAAAAGCATCTTTTTGTGCCCTTCAGATATTGTGATGCAAACTGTTTCTAGATCAGTTGCAAAGGACCTATTCACGACTGTGTTTTTGAAGAAGAATAGCTACTTTTACTGATTAGGGAGTTTAAGCTGCACGTTTCCGGGAACGGCAAACGGCAGGTTCGAACTTTCTTGGCGAAGTTTTCGTTTCATATTTTCTGTCTTGCGCCGAACGAATAATTATTTATTTCAGTTTTAAAGCAGCAAGTTTATTTACTCTTCATTGCTTGACACCGTAAAATTGTTCTTTGCTTGGCGTTTGCCGTTTGGCCTATAACGCGATGCTTAAACTCTCCATTACGTCGATTACTAATATATTTTTCTTGGGCGTTAAGGCTGCTGTTCTTAATCAAGAGACTTTCCCAACAAATCAAAACTTTGGTTACTTTGCCAACTATATATATATATATATATATATATATATATATATATATATATATATATATATATATATATATATATATATATATATATATATATATATATGTGAACAGGTTTTTGGAATCATGCCTGGTATAAAAAATTAAAAATTTTGTCCCGTTGAAGAAGCCTTAACCGGCGAAACGTTGGGACAAAATTTTTTAAATTTTTATTGCCTGTAGAAGTCTTTTTTAAATTTTTTAAATAAAAAAAATTATATTCATATATATATATATATATATATATATATATATATATATATATATATATATATATATATATATATATATATATATATATATATATATATATATATATATATATATATATAAAATAGTTTGTGTAGGGTTATAAAAACCAATGATAGAGTGCTCAATGGATAACCAGAGCATAATAGAAAGACACAAAAACTTAGCAAGCTTTGTTTGGCATATTTATATATTTATATATATATATATATATATATATATATATATATATATATATATATATATATATATATATATATATATATATTTCTGGAACGATGCTCTGAACGACTGAGCTGAGAACTGAGAACGACTTGTTAAGTTATGATGTTAGTTGCATTTCGGAGGTTAGTCCTTCAATGCGTAAAGCCAGCTATTAGTCTGGCAATGTTGTATGTGAATGTTGTGGTTTCCCACGTTTACGATTCCACTCGTGTAACGTTATGTAGTGGTTTTCGAGTTGTTTTTCAGACGAGTGTATACCAAACCAGGCAAGCAGAAAATTCTACTTGACCGCGGCTGGGATTCGAACCCGCAACCTTCGTATTTCTAGAACGATGCTCTACCATCTGAGCTACAAGGTCAGGCTGAGAACGACTTGTTAAGTTATGATGTTACACGAGTGGAATCGTAAACGTGGGAAACCACAACATTCACATACAACATTGCCAGACTAATAGCTGGCTTTACGCATTGAAGGACTAACCTCCGAAATGCAACTAACATCTTAACTTAACAAGTCGTTCTCAGCTTGACCTTGTAGCTCAGACGGTAGAGCATCGTTCTAGAAATACGAAGGTCGCGGGTTCGAATCCCAGCCGCGGTCAAGTACAATTTTCTGCTTGCCCGGTTTGGTATACACTCGGATGAAAACAACTC